TCATAGAAGAGAATGCCCTTATATTTGAGAATATAACTATCTTCCACTATCTTTATAATATCATGAAAGAATTTTTTTTAAAAGATCACACTTTCTGCTTCTTAAACTTGTGAATTATTCAGAAAGTGGAGGTATATAAAATACTTTAAAGTTAAAGGGGCTACCATTGGGGACACCTGGGTAAAGGATACACTGGACCCCTGTACTATGTTGTAACTTTCTGTGATCTCTAATTACTTCAAAAAGAAAAATTTTTAAGTCAGAAGCATTAGTCTGAAAACAGTGAACCTAAAGTAAGCAACAACAAAAAATAGTAACATGAGATATTCATTTATATAATACTCATTTCTCAAGCGTCTCATCCATCATTAGATTAGCTTGAAGTACAGGGTAAAACATGCATTGAAATGATTATTAATGTGAAAATTAATTACTATATTAAGAATAGTAATTACATATAATATAAAAGAAGAGAGGAGAAGGAGTGTGTAAGCCTAGCTAAGGAGCTGTTGAACATTCAGTGACAAGAAGCAGTGCGATAGAGCCCAGGTGACAGACAAGGGAGAGAATCTCTGTCCTGAAGCACACCTGTAGAAAGAGCATGCTGCACAGGAGGAAACAAAAAGAAATGAAAAAGGTCATCACCATTTTCAGTAAAAGAGCACGAGACAGGATTTTAATACCTAAATGGGCACCATTTTCTGATTCAGTCTTTGTCTCCAGTTCCAAGTTATCACCATGCATTACATCGTCTCCAAGCACAGCAGCCCAGTCTTTCATCGTCAGCAAACGTTCAGTCAGAGACTTCACATTTAGTAAAGAGAAAAACACCGAAAGGTTAATGTCTTATATTAGCTCCTTTGAACTTCTGAATGTATCTTTATAGCTTAAAACTCAATCCACATAAAGGAGCAAATGAACTTTTTTCTATCTATTACTAGATGTAAATAGTGTTGAAAACAACATATATATTGACTTATAATTCTGCTACTTCAAACCAAAATTGAATATTAAACTGTTATTTTTAATGCAGACACAACTCATTATAATAAAATAAACTGTAAAACAAAAACTCCAGCGATGAAATCAAACAGTACTTGAAAGTGCCCATTCTTGCTGACTCCATCACTATGACTTAAGTCAACCCTAGTGGGTTAGACATTGGTCTGCTAACTTGAAAGGTGACCATTTCAAACCCATTAGCCACTCCTCCAGAAAAAGAGGAAGCAGTCTGCTTCAATAAAGATTTCCACCTTCAGCCACTCTGTGGGGCACTTCTCCTCTGTCCTGTACAGTCACGATTATTCAGTCAAGGATTTAGGTTTTATATATAAACATTTTCTTTTGTCACTCTTTTGTTCACATACCACATATATTAGCGGTCATTAGCATGAGAGTCAAATAAATCTGCAAGTGAGATATACACTATATGAAAGGATCACAGAGTTCACAGATCTGATGTATTCACTTAATTAACTAAGCAGCTCAACAGCAATATAGGCACGATAG